AGTGGAGGGGAACCCGCCGAGCTGCAGGGAGCTAATAAAGTCGCTGGTCAGTCGCTGGATGGAGTTGATCCCGGGGCCCCGCGCTAGAGTCTGCTGCACAGTCAGGGTGGGTTCAATGACCGGGGTGAGACCAGAAAAGTGCAGGAAATAGGCCACCTCATTGGCCAGAAATTCGTACATTGGCCGAAGGAAGGTTACATTGCCGTAGCGAGTATCTGAAAACGCCTGAAAGGACGGAATTGAGGGTCGCCTGAGGGAAGGGGGGAGGAGGGAGTGGCGCTCAACGACAAAGGCACCCACATGCGGTTTACCCCCGCCTAACTACAATCTACAATATTTTCATATAATTTAAGGAATAAATACAAATGTTATGATTAAAGATGATTTGCTGATTCGAAAATATTAATATTAAATGTGCTTACCTAAGTGACTTGATCAGAGATCACCTTAGTAAAGATAATAATTATAGGTGTGTTCATGTGTAGCTGTAAGTCATATTTTTAATCTCAGCTGCGCTTACATATACCAATATATTTTAAAGAAAGCACGCATAAAAGTATACTTTCTCGTAATCATCCGGTAGAAAATTACCTCTTCTTCAAAGGTTATACTTGAGGTAGGGGTATTTTTCGACTCACTAAAAAAATATTGGACGTTTCGAGACATTGAAATGTCCATTCATACAGTACCATGCTTTTTAGTTTTTTAATTATATCTATGAAGTAAACCGCGTAGTCTATGCTGATTGTGTAATTTTATGAACCCTATATATGGCTTCCTACCTGGAATGACGTTTGGACTTGAAAGGGCGCCTAAAATCAGTTTCAAAAAATCAATCAACTTAAGCAGCCTTTTTAACGAGTGCGGTTTTCGCAGGTGACAGGAAAGACGGGCATTGAAAATCCGGCATCCTCTGGTGACCTACATACTTCATGATTATGCCGCACAATGTTTAATATAAAAACCCCCCACAGGAGCAATTCTTTCTAAACGCTATCATAGCTTATAATTTGAGCGAACATTTAATTAGGTATGCACTCTGCTGCAAAAACCAGTACAAGAAGTATTCAGTATGCCTAGAAAGAGCAACCTGAAGGTCCGACCACTAGATCATACCAAATTTTAACCCAGACGCACACAAAGCAAGCGGCTGTTAAAGAAAGAAGGTCACATTGTGTGGACGTACCAGCTGGGTGGCCACCGAGCCGCCACGGCCAAGAGCGATGCTCGAAAGACAGTCGGCTGCCAACTGCGTGGCATTGTCCCCTACGAGAACGTACTTATGCTCCAGCATACGCGCGGCCAGCGCTAATTGCAGATAACGTGACCAACGCGATGTATCTTCAGCTGCAGTCAAGGCGGAGTTAGAGAGCGGCGGGGTTTTGCAGTTCTCCAATTGAGGCAACAATTGCGAAAATTGGCTGGAAGTCTCTAAAAGCTTCATGACAAGAAGGGGAAAGCGATGGGATGGAGAAAGACAGCATCACACTAAATATTCAATCGCAGGTTTACAGTGGTTTGTGCAGGTGAGCAAACAGGGCAAAAGCAAAGTCTCAGGACTAGAAAAGAAACGCTAATAGGATATTCTGACAGCAAATACATGTAGGACTGAGACTAGTCCAGCCACAAAGCAGTTAGCTTGGTACGAGTTAGGAGAATCATTGCCTAACACAGGACACTTCGACCGTGCCCAACAGCACGATGGGTGTAGGGATAGTAACTTGCGCGAGTTAGTTTATAATGGTAGAAGGCTTGAGCTGCATCTGTTGCTCTCCCTCTCATTACCCTTCTGGGTCCGAGGTCATGATTGAGTTAATAATGCCGGGGGTGAGAGAGGGCACAGACGGTCAAGGCTGCGAGAGCCTGCACCTAGGCATGCTGCCATATCCCTCTTTGTGTGTCGCCTGATCTGCGCGCAATTGACCAGGATTGCACCAAACCAAATAACGAAGAAGACTCTGTCATTATGGGGGGAACTGGTTATCCCGTCAGTTAGTAGCCTTCAAGGCCATGTGCCTCGTAATAGATGCAGGGGCATCAGATTGGTTATAATGAGTATATGCAGACAGTTAACACTACAGTTCCTTTTCCATGGCAGCGTCGACTGCCCGAGCTTGTCAAACAACTGATACT